GCAAGCACAGAGAAAACGCCTCCAATGCCCATCACCAGAAGCGTCAACAAACGCTGTGTGCTCAGACATTGCCATATTATTGGGTCAAAAATAATTGGACTGTTTACCATGTCCCAGTATGGGATGGGCCTCAAGTACGTTATTCAGACTATTTGGCTCAGTGGATATAGCGATAGCCTGTGGACTGGAGGGTCACAGGTTCAAGGGCACATGCCCTGGTTACGGGCTCCAACCCCAGTGGAGACCATGCTGGAGGCAGACAATCAATGATTCTCTCTCATCATTGGTGTTTCTGTCTCTCTCTCCCTCTCCCTTCCTCTCTGAAATCAAAAAGATTTTTTAAAAAAAAAGAATTAAAAGAAGCTATAGCCACAAAGCACTACCTATTATCCAGTTCCATCATGTGAAATGCCCTCATAGGAAATATGTAAATCCAGGGAGTAGGTCAGCAGTTACCTGGGACTGGCAGGGGTGTGATGGGCATGATTAGTACGTGTGGGACCCGCTCTGAGGACTAAGGAAAACGTTACAACTAGACTATGGGATGGTTACAGCACTCTGCACATATACTAAATGCTGGTCTATTGTGCACATTAAACCTGTGACATTTAGGGCATGCAAACTATATCACAATGACGTTGGGATGAAAAACAATTTGAGAGAGATCACCTCTCACTACGTATTGAAAGTGGGCCTGTGTGCCCTAGTCGGTGTGGCTCAATGGATAGAGCGTCGGCCTGCAGACCAAAGAGTCCTGGGTTTAATCCTGGTCAAGGGCATGTACCTCAGTTGCAGGCTCCTCTATGGACCAGGCCCTGGTCAGGGCTCCTGCAGGAGGCAACCAATCAATGTGCTTCTCTCACATTGATGTTTCTCTCTGTCTTCCTCTCCCACTCTCTCTAAAAATTGGTGGGAAAATATCGTCGGGTGTGGGGCAGAAAGTGTCTGTTTACTAATTAAGAAATTAGTAAAATAATAAAGGAGGTCTGTGCTCAGAACGACTCTTGAGTCGGACCCTGTAGGGTCGACTACAGCCACCACTTCTCTCTCACGGCATTGAGGGGCGATCAGGGGGAACAGGCGGGTTTTTGCCTCAGTTCCCCGTGGGTGTGGAGAAGTGTGTGATTACTGATGCCATAGTCCCACGTTGAACAGTAATAATCAGCCTCGTCCTCGGGCTGCCGTCCCGTGATGACCAGCGAAGCCGTGTTGCCAGACTTGGAGCCAGAGAACCGATCCGGGATCCCCGAGGGCCGGGAGGTGCCCAGCATCACCGTTTTGGGGGCAGAGCCTGTGACCTGCTGGTACCAGCCTACACCATAGCTTCCAACATTGTTGCTGTTCCCCGTACAGGTCAGGGTGACCTTCTGGCCCAGAGACCCCGACAGCGAGGCTTCCTGCGTCAGCCCGGCCCGCACCCCAGACCCTGGAACAAAGGACACAGACACACAGTGGGGCTGAGGTCATTTCTCAGGGCGGGCGCTCAGGGAAAGGGACAGTGTCTCCCCAGGTACCCCATCCTCCCTTGTCCCGCTCCCCCCAGTCAGTCACCTGAGCTGTGAGCAAGGAGGGCGAGGAGGAGAGGGGCCCAGGCCATGGTGGAGACGCCCACACTCTGCTTCTGAGCCTCAGACCTGAGAGGCCCGCTCTGTCTCTCTTATCCTGTCCCCTCCTGGGAGGGCCCAGGGGAGCCCTTCATGCAAATGCTCCCTCCTCCTGGCGTCCCCGGGGATAAATGTGGTGAAAGCTGTGTGGCTGGGGCAGGGGGCCTCTCGCGGGGCCCTGGGAGGTCACAGCTGCTGGTCCCCAGTGAGCACAGAGCAGAGGCACCAAGCAGGGTTCCCCACCCTGGCTTCCCAGCTGAGGGCCCTCACTGACCCAACGACAGACCCACAGCGCCCCCTGCTGGTCCAGGGTCCAGATTCACTAATGACCAGATGGGTCACCTGGAGCTGAGCAGGGAGAGACTGAGGCTCTGGAATTGAGCCCTGCCTTTCCCACCCCCTCCCTCTCAGGACAGGGACTCCCCCCGTCCCCCCAGGGGTCCCTGATTGTACTGCAGGTGTCCCTCGGTCTCATTCCTTAATTTAAAGCCATGGCCTCGTCCTGGCCTGTTTGGTTCCCAGGTTGTGAGCTTAATCCCCAGCAGGGGCAGCCGATCACTGATTCTCTCTCATCATGGATTCTCTCATAGCACAGCGTCAGTGGCTGGTAACGAGCAGATACAGAGCTTTTAGGATTTCTTTTTTAAATATATTTTTATTGGGTTCAGAGAGGAAGGGATCTCTGAAATTAATTTAAAACTATATTTTTAAAAATTTATTTTTCATATATTACATATTAAAATATATACAATTCAGGTAGCGGCCTTATTCCCACAGAAATTGACCAGGTTACGGCTCTAAGGAAATCCTGGAGTTGATATTGTGACATGAGCAGACTGGGTCTGACACATGGGACGCTCTAGAGAGGGAGCTGTTGAGTCAGGAAACACAGGCACTGAGGACGGCGAAGGAAGGGCTCAGCCGGGGCCCCTGGGACTGCAGTGTCCTCCTCCTGAGCCCCCTCCTCGCAGCTTCGCCCCTTCATGGCCAGCCTCCATGCTGCCCCCCAAAGCTGCACGGCAGCCATGAGCCTCGTCCTCAGGCGGGGGGCCATGATGGTCAGACAGGTGGTATTCCCCAACTCGGAGCCAGCGAAGCGACCTGGGATCCCCGGGGGCCGAGAACCTCTGAGCATCCGTGTTGGGGCCTCACCTACGTCCATCTCACTCCTGCTTATTTTGGAAATCCCCCAAACTGGATATCACTCCTATTGATCGGCCTCTGCGCCGATGGCATTGCTTTGGATTTGCTTGTGCTTCAGAAGAGACTTGTAAGTCCTTCAGGTAAAAATTCCTGTTTGCCGCATCCCTGGAGTGGCCCAGTCACTGAGAGTCCCGGCCTCACGGACATCTCGGCGTGGCCCGGGCATGAAGTCGAAGGTGGTGATGGCCGATCCTGCCTCAGTGCTGAGGGAGCCTTTGGGGGCTCCTGGGGCACAGAGAGGCTCACCAGTCACCTTTCAACGGGGAGAGGATTCTGTTCGCTCAGCCTCCCGGGAGCCACAGACACCTGCTTCCCGGGGGCCTTAGGAGGCGGCAACAGTTGCAGGAAACAGGCCGCACTCAGCTCACACAGAGGGAATGCAAACTCTTTCTTGGCACAGTTTCCTGGGAGGTGGGCTTGGGGCCTCCCGGACCCAGCGGCCCAACAGAAGCACTCAGACCACCCACCTCAGATTCACGCCTGACTGGGCCGCGCTGCCTGTCCCTCCTGGAGCCAATTCAGCGGAGACAGGGAGGAATCATATGAGCGTTGATTCCCTTCCTGCCGCAGCCTGGGAGAGCAGCGGGTCACCCACAGAAACCTGCTCTGTCCCCCATAAGCCCGCTGCTCGTATTGGGGAAAAGGACAAGAATTACAGGGGACGTAGGCAATGGGTGTGGCAGTTCACAGGTAATGGGGCCTGGAGTTTTGCAAAGGCCTGGGGTATGCAAAGGCCTTGAC